GATACCCAATGCAATATCGTAATCAAGTCTAGGGGTTAGGTGTAACTTTCTAATTTTGCCCATCAGTCTTCAAGGTCTAGGGCATAACTGAAAATTGGTCTGGGTTTTGCGTTTCAATCAAACACACACTACATGTGCTTCGGGTCTAACCCTAGYAGTTGAGACAAGCTGCCTCAACTTCTTTGGCAACACATTCGTATTAGCTTTGGTAGGATAAACTCCCCAAGTTTATCCAACGACTAAGAACATTCTAAACTAATACGGGTCTCATAAGTGTCCAGTTTAAGGGGTAATTACATAGAAACATACCAATCATAACATGAAACAATTATGTACTTTTATTCATTTACAATAAATGTATCTGCACATCAATCTGATTGGAGTTAAGGTCATACATTGTCTAACAGCTCCCACTTGCACTTAGGTCCAAGTGTCATCTACAGGTAGAGTGTCTAACAGCTAAGGTCATAYATTCCTAYATCATTCCCAATGAGTARAGTGTCATCTACATGTAGAATCAGAAATATAACTTTATCTCCCATTGTTTTCCTGTAAACACAGGGTTCATTCAGATTCAACTCAAAGCCAAACTGTTTGATTATAGAGTCAAATTGGATGTTCCAATTTCGAGAAGYTTGTTTTAATCCATAGATGGATCTATTAAGTTTGCACACCATATGTTCCTRACCAGATGCAATAAAGSCTTGTGGCTATGGCATATAGATATCTTCAGTAAAATCTCTATTYAGGAACGCATTTTTGACATCCATWTGCCAAATCTCATAGTCAAAGTGTGGAGTTATAACTAACAAAATCCGTATGGATTTGAGCATGGCCACAAGCGAAAATGTTTCATCATAATCGACTCCTTTCTAGGGTACCCTTTTGCTACAAGATGAGCTTTATAGGTCTCAACCTTTCCATCATGACCCTTCTTCCTCTTGTAGATCCATTTGCAACCAATTGCTTTCACCTCAAGAGGTGGGCTTACGAGAGTCCAAACTCTGATGGTTTTCATTGAGTCCATCTCGACTTTCATGGAATCTACCTCCTTTAAGAATTTATATCCAATATGACTTCCATATAAGTCATGGGATCTTCCTCACTGTTCATGGCTTCCATTAGGGGTGGCAACGAGTCGAGCTATTCACGAGCTGTTTGAGTTCGGCTCGTGAAAAGCTCGACTCGACTCGGTTTTAGCTGAGCTCGAGCCTACTAGAGCTCAGCTTGTGAGGCTCGTGAGCCGGCTTGAATATATATAATATATATAATAAAATTATAGAAAATAATATATATATAAAATAAAAATATTATAATTATGAATTATTATAATTCTTAATTTTTAAACAAAATAAAATTGTTTAT